TTGGAGTAAAATCCTTAAAGTATTTAATATAATAGTTATCTATTAATTAATATAATTTTAGCAATGTTACGCGACCTGAAAAAATGCACTGAGTCTTTTAATAGTTTTCAATAGAAACATTTAACGTGACTTTCTTGTTCAACGTGTTTTCAAGATCAACATTTTTTCTATAGAAACATTTTTGTATAACATTTAACCTGGCGTTCGCAAATTCATGGATTGCTACTTATATGAAAAAAGAAAGTATGAATAATAATAATAATGTTATGAATAAAGATAAAAATGGATGTCAATCCTTATTCTTCTTTTCATCTTCTTATTCTCTATTAATAGCTGTGATTTTCCATTCTCTATTAATAGCTGTGATTTTCCATCTCACTTAGGTCCTATAAATAAAATCATATTGCAATGTAAAGTGTATTTTTGAAGAAGATAATATAATATTACTTTCTCTCTTCTCTTCCTCTCTTTGATCTCTATATTGTTTTATTTAGATTTATAACACGTTATCAGCACGAAGCTCTCAGGTATGCTTCTTTCTCTTCCATCTCAAATTAATCTTGAACCATTGTTTGTTTAGAATTATGAAAATAAGAAGAAAAAAATAGTTTAGTATATAATATAATTTATTCAGCTTTTGTTCAACATTAGAAAAGTATATTATTATTGATGACTTTTTGTAATTTTAAAAAGTTGTCAAAAGATTGTCATTCTAGAAGAATACACAAATAATTTTAACGCATCCCAGAAAAATGATTATAATTTTTAAATCATTCCTTGTAACAAATAATTTATATAGTTCCTAAAGAATTTATAAAGCATAGCATCCCTAAAGGATAACAAAATAACATTGTATAGTTCATGAAGAACTTGTAACGCTCTATTTGCTATTTTTTTGTTTAAGATAGAGCAAGAAATTTTTATTTCTCATAAGGAAGTTGAGAATTTTTTTGTTAGAGTAAACACTCTAGATTATTAGTTGTTATTTTCAAATACCGAAATTTATTAATCCTTATATTTAATTGTGTCAAGAGATTGAAATTTGTTTGAAATATTATTATTTCATATTTTTTATTGAGTTAGCAATTTAGATTTTAGATTAGATAACAATTAAAAGAAAATGCAAGATGTATTTTTTCACTAATTTGGTATTTTTTAAGTAGATAATTTTAAGACTAATGTAACAATTTGTTTACTATTGTGTTATTTTAAATATTAGAATTTACAAAAGTGTTACTACATCTGGTACTTTTTATAAGAAACACTTCACTTTTTTAGATTTATTAAATAATTAATGTATTTGGTCTGTATTATAGACTAGATACATTAATTATTTAATGAATCTAAAAAGATGAAGTGTATCTTATAAAAAGGACCGGATGGAATATTATTTAATATTGCCTTTATGATAATTATCTTATTATAATATTTAATACTTAATATTTTATCTAACTTTTATTTTTTATGATAGAATTAAGTATGTCAAATAGTTTTTCTCCAGAATATCAAAAGCCCCAAAATTCAATTTCGTAAGATTTGACATGACCGATTGGGTCATCCCAGTTATATAATGATGCGAAAAATAACTAAAAATTCATTCAGTCGTCAATTAATGAGTAGGAAAATTATTCAATCAAATAAGTTCTCATACAGCTCTTCCTCGTAAGGGAAGTTGATAATTCAGTCTATCACCAACATAAAATGGAAATGAATCTATTAGTTTTTTAGAGCGTATATATGGTAATATTTATGGGCCAATACATCCATCATGTGGATCATTTAGATGTTTTATGGTTTTAATTGATGCATCAAATAGATGGTCACATGTATGTTGTTGTCAACTCACAACCAGGCGTGTGCGAGATTGTTAGCTCAACTGATTCGAATAAGAGCTCATTTTCCTGATTATCCGGTCAAAAAAATACGTCTTGATAATGCTGCAAAATTTTTATCTCAAGCATTTAATGAGTATTGTATGTCTATTAGAATTGACATTGGACACTCAATAGCACATGTTCATACACAAAATGGACTTGCAGAATCATTTATTAAACGAATAAAATTAATTGCAATACCACTTATTATGAGATGCAAACTCCCTGTTTTTACTTGGGGACATGCAATTTTGGATGCTGCAACATTAATTCGCATCAGGCCAACAAGTTACCACACATCTTCACCTTTATAATTAGTTTTTGGTAAAGAACCTAATATTTCACATCTAAGAATTTTTGGATGTGCGGTGTATGTTGCAATTTCTCTACCACAGCAAAATAAGATGGGTCCTCAAATGAGAATGAGAATATATGTTGGATATGAATCTCCATCTATTGTAAAGTACCTTGAACCAACAACAGGAGATTTATTCACAGCTCGTTTTGCTGATTGTCATTCTAATGAATCAAATTTTCCAGCATTAGGGGAAGAGAATAAGAAGCATAAAAAAGAGATCAGTTAGAATGAATTATCATTATCTTATCTTGATCCTCGAACAAAACAATGTGAACTAGAAGTTCAAAAGATAATTCATCTGCAAAACTTAGCAAATCAATTACCAAATGCATTCACTGATCCAAAAGGTGTGATTAAATCATATATATACCAGCTGCAAATACTCCAATAAAAATTGATATCCTTGTTGGACAATCAAATGAATCTCAACAACACCTGGAGCGTAGCAGACCAATCGATTCCAAAGATAAAAATCCTCGAACAAGAGAGCTAAGAATAAAAATGGCCCAAGTGAGTATATAGAAAATCTAAAAGAGCCTTCAGACATAATAAACATTTCATCGCTAGAAGAGATTGATCATGTACCTGAAACTCATGAAAATAAAGAGATCTCGATAAATCATGTCCAAAATGGAATACAATGGAACCAAAACGAAGTCAACATTGATGATGTTTTTGCATACAATATAGCGCTAAATGAGATAAATGACAAAGAGGATCAGGAACCAACGTTTATCAAAATTTGTAGACAAAATGAAGACTGGCCAAAATGGAAAGATGCAATTGAAGTAGAATTAAATTCGCTCTACAAAAGACAAGTTTTTGGACATGTAGTCCGAACACCTCAAGGATTCAAAGCTCGAATTGTCGCTTAAGGATTTTCGCAAAGTTCTTAAATTAATTTTGATGGGACATATTCACCTGTAATGGATGCAAGCACTTTTCGGTATCTAATAAGTCTTATAGCACATGAATAGCTTAATTTGCACATGAAGTGCTTAATTTGCACATGATGGATGTTATAATAGCTTATCTGTATGGTTCACTTGATACTGAAATTTACATGAAACTCCCTAAAGGGTTTAATATACCATATGCACACAACTCCGAATCTCGAGAAAGTTACTCCATAAGATTGAACATGTCTCTCTATGAGCTGAAACAATATGGACGAATGTGGTATAATTGTCTCAATGAATATTTGTTTAGAGAGGATATACAAATAACTCCATTTGTCCTTGTATTTTTATAAAAAGATCAGGAAAGAAATTTGTAATAATAGTTGTTTATGTGGATGACATAAATATTATTGGAACTCCTAAAGAACTTCCAAAAGTTATTAATTATTTTCTAATTGTTTAAAGAAAGAGTTTGAGATTAAGGACATAGGAAAGACATGTCTAGGTTTGCAAATTGAACATTTGGACAAAGGAATATTTGTACATCACGAAGTCTATATAAAAAAGGAGTTTAAACGCTTTTATATGGACAAATGTCACTCATTGTCTACTCCAATAGTTGTTAGATCATTTGAAGAGAAATTCTTTCAGACCTCAAAAAAAATGATGAAGAATTGCTTGGTCCTAAAGTACCACATCTCAGTGTAATTGGAGCACTAATGTAACTTGTTAATTATACACATTCTGATATATGATTTGTTGTCAATCTATTAGCAAGATACATTTCTTCACCCACGTGAAAACATTGAAATAAAGCCAAGCATATACTTCATTACCTTAGAGGTACAATAGACATGGGTTTCTTTTATACCAAAATATTCAAATTCAAATTAAGAATTTATGCAGATGCGGGTTACTTGTCAAATCCTCATAATGGTAGATCACAAATAAGTTATTTGTTTATATGTAGGGTACAAATCGGTGAAACAAACCATAGCAACAACATCATCTAATCATGCAGAACTTGACGTTTATCTTCTGAAAAATTTAATACAACAATCATATATGAAGATAATACTGCATGCATTGCTCAATTGAAAGATGGTTACATTAAAGGAGACCGGACAAAACACATTCTCCAAAGTTCTTTTTGACTCATGATCTTCAAAAGAGTGGTGATATAAGCATACAACAAATATATTCATGAAATAATCTTGTAGACATTTTCACAAAATCACTCTCAAGTAAAATTTTTAATCAACTAGTACAAAAGATTGATCTTCATCAAAAAAATGATTGTTTAGCTGAGGGGAGAAATAAAATGAGAAAAATGAAAGGATATTGTACTTTTTCCTTCACTAGATTTTTTTTTATTGAATATTTTTTTTAGTAAGGTTTTAATAAGGCATATCATCAATGGACATTTAAGGAGAATGTTACGAATAAAGATAAAAGTTGTTTATACTCTTTTCATCTTCCTATTCCCTATTAATAGTTGTGATTTTCCATTCCCTTAAGTTTTATAAATAAAATCCACATTGAAATGTAAAGTGTACTTTTGAAGAAAATAATATAATATTACTTTCTCTTTTTCTTTAAGTTTTCTTTGATCTCTATATTATTTCATTTAGTTTTATAACAAATAATAATAATAATAATAATAATAATAATAATAATAAAAATAATAATAATAATAATAATAATAATAATAATAATAATAATAATAATAATTTTGAATTAATCTATATTTCTTTGACTAAAAAACTAAAAAATAATAATAATAATAATAATAATAATAATAAATTTGGGTACTGCCCTGTTAAACTGTTAGTGCAATTGTGTTCTCATTGGTAACTCATGAAAAAATAACTAGCTTACAGTCAATACATTTTCTGACATGTACGGTGATATGCATCCCTGGACCTGAAAAGAAGGGTTTTTTTTACATGAAAATCTAAAAAAATTAAGAAACAAATCAAGAAGATACTCAAAAAAATCTAAATATATCTTATATTCTCTAACAACACTAATGGATTCTCCAGAATTATGAAGATGGCATGAAACTATAGAATTTTTTCATGCGTGGACACACACATACACAGATCCTAACATCTTTTTCTAATATTTGACGCCACACATGCTAATAACCAATTATCAAATTTGCAAGACAACAGAATAAAACTGTTGTGTAAAAACTTTTTCAACAATGTATCTTTTTGTTTCTAAAAGGAAATGCTGAGAAGAAGGAATAAGTATATAAAACAATTTCTTACCTGCAATAAACATGTAGGAATTTGGATATAACCCTGCAGCAAGAGGTTGACTTTTTTCAGAGAATCAACAGGCACCGGTGTTATCACATATAGCATACCTTTGACTGTGTCAATACCCCTCACAATGCCTGAATCACAAAAAATTAAGTTGGCTTAACAGTTATGATGCTTAGAATTACCCAAATGCATAACTACAAAATCAGATGGCTGTTTGATCTATGTGCTTGTTATTAAAAGATCAGAAGACTAAAGGAATTTTTGTAATGAAACCGACCCACGTAGATGGTGGAAAATAGGCTTAGGTAGTTTGAGCATGTAAAAAGAAGACCTATAAGTTCTATTGTAAGAAAAGTATATCAGATGGAGAATTAGAGATTAACGAATTGGATAGAAACATGGTCTTGGATAGGGCATTATGGCGGAATTTGATTCATGTAACTGATGCCACTTAGTAGGGTGAGGCTTGTTGTTGTTGTTGTTTTGCCTTAGGCTCTCGCATATATAGACTATTCATGGGCATACTGCAGCACAAAATGCCTATGTGGACTACTTTGGCTAAAGATAATCCTCGAGGATTTGAAGATTCACATGGAATAGGTCAATGATACTCAAATGTGATAATAAATCTACAATCAATATTGCTCATGATATAGTAATGATATAGTGCAGCATGACTTTGTTGATGTTGTATGACATTGCACAGCATACTGAACTTGATAGACATTTTATCAAAGAAAATTTGAAAAGTGGACTGTTTTGTACTCCCTATGTAAATACACAGGTCAACTTGCCGATGTACTTACTAAAGGACCAAGCAGTACCGTGTTCTAGAATACTGTATACAAGCTTTGAATGGTAAATACCTATTCATCAAAACTTATATCCTATGCAAACTTTATTCGTGGAGATAAATCTGTTTGAAGTATCGTTAGTCTCTTAGGGAATCCCAAACATCATGGGAATCCTTAAACCCTAAACTCTTTCATCCATTGGTGTTCTGTTTTGGATGAATAAGAAAATTCCTATTCTTCTAAACTTTGAGAAAACAACATTTATTTTAGAACAAGATATGATGAGACATTTTAGAAGTCAGCCAAAGGGTTACCTACCAAGACCGAGGCACCAGGATGAATTTCCAGGTCCTTCAGATTCAACTGCTAAGCCAACAATACTAGCATTCAAGCTGTAGAATATTTCAGAGCTCGGGACCTACAAAAGATATTGGTCATATAAAATGTTTGATCACCTTTATATAAAAATAAATTAGAATTGTTGAAATTTATATATTCAATATTCTATTGAAAACCGTAACATATTCAATATTTAAATTTTTAATAAAAATATTTGAAATTCAAAGTGGATGAAATGAAATGCATACAAGACCAAGCATATAAAGGGTAGCTCGGTAACAAGACTCTGCGGTGGAGCTTAGGAAGGGTTATGATTTGACACAGAACTCTCGAGTTAAGAGCTGTTTAGACAGATAAACTGCGACCATCAAGTCACAAGCATCAACTTTATTTTTACCTAGTGTCATAAGACATAATCAAAAGAGATAATAAGTAACATTAGAACTAACCTCGCGATGAACATGTCGAATCTTTATGCTTGCAATAGGAACTTGATAAGGACAGTGAGAGGTCAAGGAATGTGCAAGTTCCTTGATCGTTGAAATATCTGAATCGCTAGGAAAGCATCGTCTGAAATAAGCCATTATTCGTAAATCACGCAAAAGACTAGCATCCTTTTGAACAAGCACCCTGCAGAAACAAACAGAGATATTTTATAAATCTATAACAATTTTTGTCTAAAAAAATTTTTAAAAAAGTCTCAAAGTAGCTGCTGGAAATGCTAACTTATGAGAATTGGGCTTACGATCTATTTAATGAGTCCTGCCGGGCAGAATTAATCTCGATCAATGTATTTGTTCCATCATATTCCCCATCTAACCAGAATTTTCCAACAGGTAAATTCTTATTTTCAGTGGATATACCGATCTTAACTACATGGGTTGGACAAATATATTTTAACATGTCCACTAAAACGTCATAACCAACACCTGAAATCCAAGACAAAATTCACTGAATGAGTACTGTCCGTATAATTGATATATCGCTAGTAGTCCAGGAAAGCAGTAGTATATGTGCAAAAAATATATATAAAATGTACGATTAAAAGGAATTAAATCGAATTGATAACTGAAAAGACAAGAGTTTACCTTTAACCCAACCAGGAGTATTGACTACAAGAGGCATTTGAACCCTAGAAGATTTTGCTCCCTTATCAGATGTCCGACACTCCTTTCGATAATAATCATAAATGGAGCATACATAATTTAAGTATGTTAATGGATCTCTCTTCGAAGAAACATCGCCAAAGAAAAGGGATCTGTTACAAAATAAATGACAGAGAATGAATCAAGCAACTCCATAACACGCAAACATACTCATTTAAATAAGACATGAAATGGTAGACACTTAACAGAATCCAACATATTCTATAAACAGATAATAAGTATCACCCCCCTCACTGTTTATAGAAAATTCATAACAATGAAATGGTCTAGTAAGACCTTTGAGCCTTACAGCATCTTCAAGAAAGATAAAAACAAAGTGCAGAAGATCACATGGAAAAAATCACAATATATAATATTCTCAACATTAAGCTATTTAATGTTTTGACAGTTCTACTCAATCTGGAAAACAAACTTTCTTATAGACAAATTACTGGTAGTTAATTTGTAATGCGAACAGGATTTGTAAAATAGCAGGAATTGAACCCTAGACCTCCTACCAATGTTGTTGGTGGATGCAGTTCATGGCGGAGAGCCAGAATACCGCCATATAGCTGAAAAACTCGCAATATTGACCAATATTTACCGTTGCGGCAAGCTCAAAAACAGCCATGTATATCGGCCATGGCGGATATTTGATAACACTGCCTCCTACATAATACTTCTTCCGCGTATAAACACATATCACTAGCCTTCACCTTCGGAGACTAATCTAGAAATCATGTTATACACCCCAGTAGCAACCATTCTAACAATCTTAATTCTTAACCTAAATAACAAGTAAATAACACAATGTGCCTAACTTTACTTGAATCACAACTCAACAAGTAGCAACCTCTTGTCAAACATTTCAAATTCAAAGCAACATAAAAAATAAAAACAAAAACAAAAAACAGATTCAGTTCACAAATTATTGAGATAAAATAGCACTTCATAGTTCATACCTCTCTGGTGTTTTCAGGTATGGAACCGTCAAATCTAAAACAATCACAAAAAAATAGAAAATTTTCAAGTCAATATCTGATATAAATACCAAGCATTAAAATTAATATATCACATGTAAAAACTGAGATAAGGTATTGATTAGCAAGCAACCCTACCTGGAGTGATTTTATGAACAATGGTTAGAGAAACAAAAGCAGGAGGAGTAAACTCAGGTTGGCCAACATCAGTATCAAGATAAGCTACTCTCTTATATCTTGTCAGTAGGACATTAAGAAGGTAGCGGGAGAAGGTTGTTTTGCCACAGTTTTTGGGTCCACATATGAGTGTGATAGGAGGGGTTGAAGCGGATTTAATGGAGTTCGCAGCCTCTGACCATTGCTCTGGGATGTAAATTTCCGGTGAAGGGGATGAAGCCATTGCGACGGTTGGTTACTCTTGGGTAAAGAGTTCTTTAGTCGTGCAAATTTGCAAACAGTTTGTGTGCATTCAAAAAGTGTGTTGAAAGTGAGACGCTCCAACCTAATTGAGTCTCTCGGATCAGTCCAACCCGGTTTCGATCCACCCGGTTTGATGTTTTATGAAAGGGCATCAAGTTGTTGGACTTGGATTTGGATATAAACTGGTACTTAAATGTATACCCTGCCATTATCCCTATACTCCAACATTTATTAATTACTTCAATTATATTTTTTTATTTCTTATTAAATTTTTTGAAATTGAAAATTTTTATATCCATACGTTAATTTACAAAAACATTTATAAAAGAGTTCAAATAGTCAAATTTTTAATTTTTAATGTAGCAAAATATTTGAGTAAGAAAATAGAGATGTTTGTAAAAATGGAATGTAAAAGTGTTGAATTTTATTATGGATTTATTTTAATTACAACAACTATCAAAATTTATCTCACTAAGTAGTGTCAATTATACGATCAACTTTCGATATAATATTTTATCCAAAATCATGTTTTTATCAAAGTTATTAATTTTGAGATCTTTTTTAATAACTTCTCTTATAGTTTTTCTAGGTTTTCCTCTACTTCTAACTATTTGACTCTCCTACATATGGCCAACTCTCCTTGTCACAAAATTTATCGATCTTCTCTCGACATACTCAAATCACCGAAGTCTATTTTCTACCATCTTTTCTACTATAAGTTTTACACCAACAGTTTCTCTAACCTTATTCTGTCTAGTTTTATCACACGTTCAACGCAACATTCTCATCTCTGTTATACTTACTTTATTCTTATGTTAATTTTTATCGTTGAATAGCTCGTAATGGATTTGGATTATTCTTTTAATTAGCTTGTTGAGACATCTCTAGCATCATCTCGTGATTATATATTTATGAATATTATATTAGGTCAAATAAAGTCAAATTTACCAACTAGAGTTGTTCAATGTGCAGTGTGGCCAGTTTTGATTCTAAAAGTCATCTGAAGTGCAAGAGAAAAAAATGTACAATTTAGTTTGATTCAGTTGCCTTTTTAAAATCAAATCAAATCAATGCAGATTATATTGATTTAGTTTGACCGATTTTTTAAAAATATTTATTAAGTCATTCATACCTATATAAAGGACAACATAATTTTGAGTTTAATCATTCATATATTAACTTAAACTAAATTTATAATTGTTAAAAAGACAATATACTAATTTATAACTGTTAAAAAGACAATATACATGAAACTGCATTCTTGAATATATTTAAAATATTATTATTTGTATATATAAACAAATGCTTGCATGCATGTGACTATGCTACCTTGATAATATTTTTTTTATTATCAATATTTTATATATAAATGGATACAAAAATAATATAAGTTAAACTTTTTCATTTAATCTTATCATTATCAACGTCAACAAATTAAAAATGAAAATAAAAATAAAAATATATTAAAATTTTATTCCAAATAAATAATATTTTATTTTTGATTAATATGTAAATTACGATAAATATCTTACAAATAATATAATAAAATATACAATAAAATATACACACATGACTTATATACAATGATAACTAAAATTTTGTAACATAATACCGTTTGTTTTGATTTGGTTTAGCTTGCAAAATACAAATCGCAAATTTGACCAAATTACACGCGATTCTATTAAAAAATAACCAAAAACATCCAAATTGTTCAGGCCTGTCCCCGGCTTGACCAGACAGGCCTAACCCAATAATATTCTGTCAAGCTCAATCCAGCTTGGACCACAGCCGCCGAGCACAGGGTCCCTGGCGAGTAGGTAATGTCCCTCCGCGGGCAAAACCTTCCTCGTGTGTGTCGAGCACAAGACTCCCCCGTCGACCAGACGCTGCCCCCGTCGAGCGGAACCTGTCCCTCCACGGACAGAACATGCTCCCCTGTCGGGCAGGACAACATGTCCTTCACACGTTCTCCACGTGTCCCCCTCTGCGGGGACACGTCACCGACCAACTTCCCACCTCCGAAAGAGCAGGTCAAACCCACTTTCCGGAGATCACGGGACAGTTGGACTAGGGCGAAGACCACGTCCTGGTCTTCACTACGCCACGTAAGCCTTAATAGTCACCTGGGTTGGGCCTGACAATCCAGCCCAACACAAGTGACTGTTGGCCCAGCGTTGGGGTCTCTCTATAAATACCCTATTTCACAAGAGGGTCAGGTAATTCACTTCTTACCCCTTTTTCTATATTTGCTCTCACTCTGTCCAATTCCTTACTTTGGCATCGGAGTGTCTTGCAGGTATACCCCCTTCTCCTCTTCAACACCGGTGAATAGGCAGTAAGTCGAAGACGCGTTGCAGTCAACGATCCCCTTCTGATCAGGTTAGATCACAAACCAAACATGATTTTTTATAATTTTTTATTTGCTTTAATTTAATTAATGTTTCCTATTGAACTAGTTTAGTTTTGAACACTCATATTACCAACCATAAAAAAAAAAGTATGCGTCTCATAAATTAATATTTTGTCTTTGAATTAATAAAGTCAAATATATTAGATACATAATATTAATGTTATTTAATTATATATGTTATATTATGTATCTATAACTAAAATATAATTTATCAAGAAGTATATTAAAGAAGGAAAAAAATCAAGAACTAAACAAGAACAAACCAATAGGGTTTAGCTTTTTTTTTAATAAATTTTATAATGTTATATATTTTCATTAAAAACAAATTATAAAGTTTTTTTTTAAGTTTGAAACCAAAAATTGGTTTAAAATTATTTTTAGGTATTTTATTATTTTACTATAGTTTTTTTATATCAAATTTTTAAATTTTCATTTAAATTTGAACATATTTTGAATAGTTTTTTATTAAAAAAATATTTTTGATTTTTTTTTAAATTGTGTAATTTTAAATATATTTTAATTTTTAATAATGTATATTCATGTTACTGAATGTCAAAATTAATTTTTTAATTTAAAAAAAATTATTTAAAAAACTTTTACTATTTTAAACTAAATTCATAAAAATCACTTTTGAAATATAAAAAAAAAAATCTATTTTTTTAAATTAAAACAAACAAATCTTATATGAGAAAGAGTTACTGAAAAACCATACAAAGACATGCAAAATAAAAACTCACAATATCAAAAAATTCTTTTTAAGAAAAACCACTTAATTTAGCATGTGTTGGATTTGTTAAATAAAATAAAGGGTCGAACAAAAACAACTTTTTTTATATTTTGTTTGATGTTAAAATTAGTTAAGGTACGTGACAAAAACAGATGGCGTGGAACTGAACAAAAACATGAACTTTTGTCTCTCCCTTAACCTTAAGGCAACTTTTTCTTTCAAACACAAATTAAAAATTAAAAAATAAACAAAAATAAAAACAAAGCACAATTTTTTTGATTTTTTTGTTTGTTATCGTTAGTTGAAAACATGAAGTTTTTTTTTTGTACAAAGTAGGATTTTTTGTTGCATAAATTAATTTAATGTTATGTTTATTTATTTTATTTCAAGCATACACATGTTCAATGTGATATTTTATAATGGGAGCAATTTTATTTAAGAAAACTTATTGTTTTACATATAATGGCTTGAAACAATTATGGAAGGTCGATACTTAGATAGATATTTAGATAGATGGAGTTATTTTGAGATACGTAGCTTAGTAAAAGAATATGAATATGATAGCGTGGATTTAGGTTGTGGGGAGAAATTGAAAGAACTAATGAAGAATTTTCCTACATGAGTGATGATATTCATTTTGAAGAAGTTGCAAATTATTGTCTTGCCAACAAGGTTATGGACATAATTGAGTTTAGTATAATGTTGAAGACATTTTTTAAAATGATGTTGAAACCTACTTTTATTGATCTTAGGAAACAAAATGATGAAAGTAGTGATGATGAAGACATGGGAGTTAAGTTTATGCAAAGAAAAAGATAGAATGAATGAAAACAATGAAGCATTTATTCTAGTTAAGGTGGAGAGGCTAAGTGAAGGTTCTAGGGTAGATATAAATGGGAAATCATTTAGATTCAAGTCAAGAGCAAACAAATTTATATTGAAGAAAATACCTCTTTCAAAGCTCATATTGCTAGCTTTTACAAGTATTGTAGTTGGTATTTCAAGAATTGGAAAATCATCTAACTCTGAGTGTTATGGTGATGAAGATGGTGACTGAGTGAAGAATTGAAAAATTCATACCCATATAATAATGATAGTAAAATATGGCATAGAAGACAAAATTACGGAGTTGTATTTTAAGATACGCATGAACACTTTTGAAACCCTGAATGTAAGTCTAACAATGCATATATAGTTGTGAATGAGACATAGAAATTTTCGACAAAAGTTGTTGCTCAAAAAAGTTAAAGGGGAGTTCCTGTTGGAAATTATTCAATTCTCGCTCAAGAAAATCACCAAAACTTGATGAATTCCGAACCAAATCTTTATGAACAAGTATCAATCTTTCTAATTGATTATCTCTCTTGTTCTTCACTCTTTGCTCGAATGAATCAACCAGCCCTGATTGCAAAGTTGTATCGCTGCACAATTATAATGAAAGAAGAAAAGAAAATATGAAATTGAAGAAGAAAAAGGAATTATGGTTTCAACGTGAAAGGGAAGAAGAAGAGTTGTGAATTCAACAGAGTTCCTCTCTGCTCTCAAACTAAGATTTTATTCTTGCAACTGCAAGTTTTAATTTTACAGTGATAGGGGTTACTATCTAATTATGCTAACACTACAAAATTATACCTAAATCAAAATTCTTGTTGAGACACACTTCGACACTTTGATGCTAACAAGATTTATACATTTCCTTGCTTCTTTCGAGCAACCTGCTTCAAAACAAGGAATTACAATTCAACAGTTCCAGCTTGTATTTATAGAACACGATAACTTATAGAAGAAAAAACTTGTGGATAATTAAGGATGGCAACGAGGCGGGTGGCGGCGAGTTTAACTA